CTGTATTACGGAATAGCCATCCTATATTTAGTGCCTGTAGGTTGATAGGAGTAATTTCTCCGAGCCCGACTAATCTAGGACGATGTTAATTTGATTTGCAATAAGAGTTAAACGACTTTGCATCTTTAAAATGCTAACCACCAGCAGAAGGGAGAAAAGCACTCTCAATCTTCCTGCCGAAGATTGTTTTACCAATTATTTCTGTACTCTTAATTCCCTGCTGCGATGTAATATTTAGATAAGAAGTTCAGTCTACACCTTGTGAAATTTCTCCATTACATTTGCACAGATAGATATTCTTAATTCCTGCAACCCATTCTTTAATTAATCTCATTTCACGTTAGCATTTTTTAATCTCGTTTCGTGCCATTGTTTGTACGAGTGATACGGTTAATCAGAACCCTGTAGCTTAATCAGTGATTAATTACCATGCCCAACGTAATGCTCTGACAATAACAAAAATAAACTTGCTACATACTCTTTTAAAAGAGCACGTATCAAATTTCTATTTAGAGATTCACATTTTACTAAAAACTTGGATTAAGTACTAGTTAGATTCCTAGATTAATCATACGAATCTCGGTTAAGCATCTCGGAGCTATCATTACTGGTACGTATGTACCAGTGTAGAGTATCAACAGAGAACTAAATACACAAACGAAGCTCAACGTTAATCTCGAATCGCGTCTCCCTCTTTACACGTTTGCTTTCGTCGCTTCGACGGTATGCTCGGTCTCTATCTCTCTCTCTCTCTCTTTCTCTCTGTATACATGCGCCTGTATCTAATTCGATCACACCGAGTTAGCAGGTGTTAGGTGGGCAGGTCGGAGCCAGCGCAAGTGCGTCAGGACGAAAACCGTGAGGTCAGAGGGTAAGCCGGGTGAGTTGGAATGAACTGTATGGACATCTCGTGAGCACCACGAGGAAAACGAACACCGAGGGTCAGGAGGTGGATGGGTAGCGAGCGGCACGGGAGGAGAAGGTTGGAGGATAGCGTACAAGTGGGTGGGCATCGATAGACTGACCGGGTGGCTTTGACCCGCCAATTCAGCATCACCCATACGGGCACTCAACCGCAAATCGAGTTCCGGCCGTAGGGCGGAATAAAATCGACCTCATCCCACGAGTCAACCCTTCGCCCGATCCCCGTCCCACCCACCCGCGTTCCTCCGACGCTAACCACGGCTACCTTCGGGCTTGGATTCGCATGTAGGCGAACCCAGTAAGACATTACTCGCGAGGGACGCGTTTATTCGACGCTCGGGGGTGGGAAAGAAAGCCCGGGCAGCGAACAGGGGGAGAAAGTCAGCTTGCCTTTAATGGGCACTGTCGAATGAAAAGGTCTTGGGTGCACGATATTCAGTTGCCGGTATATGCTCGCCTCTCTATACTTTTATACGTGTATCTGTCTGTGTATTATACGTACTTTCACTTCTGATGAATCCGAGAAGAAATCGCTTTTATACGATATTTTATATCTTTGATTTTATTCGTTTAGCACAAGTTAATTGTTTGGTTGAGGCTATAATGATCATGAATTACGATCAACAATTTTTCTAATTTGTTCCTTAAACATCGACCCGTGCTAGTACATGCATAGTAATAACATGCTGCGCCGTAATCGAATAAAAAGGTACTCGCCGGTTCTCCTCAATTTCCCTATCCGGAGCTGAAAAAAGTTTTCCGCCTACGAGATGGTTCGGTACATGATGAAAACGGACAGCACACATACGATCTCCCGGTACGCTACCACGAATCCGATCCTTGTCTCCGAAAAAAGTAAACCGAGGGATGCGTTTCCAAAGGGAGTCATCCCGTTGGACAGCAGAGGCCGGATCAAGAGAGAGAAAGAGAGAAAGAGAGGCTTTTAATTGTCCCAACCGGAAATCTCAGTCAGCCGGGAATGCATTCAGCTATATTTCTAGTTACGTTTCTGTTTTCGTCGATGCGACAGTGCGCTGCTGTTCCGTCGACTCGCGTTATCGTCTCGCCAATTTATTGCGCGTATGCAACGTATACTCCAATGCATAAATTAACAAAAATTTCAACAATATAATTGAATAATTGTTCATCTTACGTAGTTGTCCCATAAGTATCCTAACAGAATTGCTGAAGAAACATGGCAGGATATGTATGCATTTCTATTTATCGTTTCTAAATTCTCCTTGTTTGACACATGAGACAAATCGACAAAAGATAATCAATTGTCAATTTTTAGTCATTAATAATTCATTAGGTGGTCCTGAATAAATCAATTCCAATTTCTCTGAATACAACGACACGCAGTTTGCTTTAATAAATAGCACGATTATCCGTGTTCCAAGTAGAATTTAGTTCATGGGTACTACATTGTATTAAATTTATAGAACAGGATTTTATGATAAAATTTGATTTTATGAACAGAAATGTACATCCCCTAACTCAGGCAAACCGTCCGATGGATTTCCACCCCCGTTCTCCGTGGCGCGTATGAACGAATACGCGTACGATACTAGCTAAATTTATGAGCTGAACAGATATACTTAACCGGCGTTGAACGCGGCGTGGACAATGCCGGGTGTAACTTGGGATACGTTATTGTTGCGTTAAGTGTTACGACAACCGGCGAAACCCGCCCCGTAAGCGGAATGCGAATGAGAGAGGCATGGGATTTATCGCTACGAAACGCAGGAACGCGGGCCACCGTACGTGCACGCGAACACGAATTTCCGGCCACGGAACGGAGCACCGATTGATTCCACCGTTTGTCATTTCACGAGTCCCCGTTGTTCCGTTTTTGTACTGCCTAGCCGGCACGTGACTCGAAACTTACGGCGTCCGTAACAATAAAGCAGCCTGAGTGGACGTTGCGCGCTAAGTAAGTAGTACAAGTAAACGATAAATCGGACGGCCTCTATAAATCGTACCTGGCTGCGATTAATCACGTTAATTTCATAAGCAATGGAATACGTCATTTGTCTTAGGAAAATTTAATCATTTTTAAGCTCACCATTTATAATTTCTCTTGTAGACTTTTCTCTCATACGTTCAGAACAAGAGATCAAAAAGATGCGTATTTGATTACGCTGGTACAAAGGTAAAAACAGTGTCACGATATGATGAGATGCACATACGGAGAATATAAACATTTTCACGAGTTGTTAATACCGTGGTAATAATACTGCGGCCACGGCTGAACTCTTTGTATAAAGTGAACGCAGGAATCACGCAAGAACCCGGGATCGGAGAACGGAGTTACGGAAACTCAGATCCCCTTGTACACGAGCCGAGACACGCATGACCTAATGCGCGATGTCGGATGACACGACTGGGTGGGTACTGTGACGCTGACTCGCAGAAATAAATCCACGGGACTTTATTTTTCTTGCATGATCCCAACTACAGATATACGAACAAACAAACAGCCTCGCGTCATCTGTTCGCTGCTTTAAATTGCACTATTCTTTACATTAATAATAATTTCAAAATTATGACACTAAATTTTCTTTTCAAATTAAATAATGATTTTGCACATTTTTTAATGTCTGTTCAAATTATATATTCAATTGTTAAACGTGTGTCAAACTTGGAAACAATTTATGTTATATTTGAAGTAACTGTTATGACTGAAAGAGATTTGTTTAACCAAATCACTTAACAATACGGTTACAAACATATCGGTAATGGGGAACGGGTTACGAGCCATGTATCGCTCGGTGCATCGTATAACAAATCACGTGGACACGAATGTTTATGATTCTACGTACTATCGGATAATTTCTATCGATAAATCCGAATTTATGCTTCGTAAACTGAAAACAGGCTGCAGTTTTATTTCCACCGAGCCCGTTTCCGGAAACCATATAAAATTTACAATATTAAAACTGTATTTCGTAAAGGTACCGAACGTATCACGATAACGAGCTGTTTTAACAAAGATGTGGGTGCATAATTATTTAAACCGCGATGGCAGGATCACGGACCGAGAATTATAAAGAATAATTTACGGCCGCTTGAAATTAAGATAGCGACGGTAATAAATCCGTATTCTTTTACAGCGTGGACAAAAGAAACTTTTACAGTACCCAGGGAGTTATTTATTCGTCGAGAATTCCAGCTGAACTTTCGAAATTGAAAAAAGATATTCTCACGTGTCCTTTTTCTTCTTCGTACGTTTTTGGTTAGCAGAAGTCACGAGCATGAATCGTACGTAATCGGAAGCTCTATTTCTTATCTCTGACGTTGCGCAGTTTTGAAAGGATACGTCAGTCAAGGCGAATAGCTTGAATATTCATAGAACTTGCTCTGTGCTTATTCTTTGACCGAAATTCCAATTTCTTTTGTTGCGAATATCAAAGAGACAATTTTCTGTTCCATGGACGCATAAAGAGGATCCACAACAAAACGCGGCCAGAATAATTTCAAACCTGTCACGATTTATCTGTATGGACATTCCAAGTTCTAAGCGGATATCTTAAAGGTCCTTTCAAAATTAACGTTATTATATTTATAATTGCCAGTGAAATTTCACAAATTATAGTGGAACGTTTCAANTAAATAATTGATATAATTCAATTTTAATGCAATTCCTAGTTGGCGAGCTCACGTTTTACACGGTTTAATAATTCATTTCGTTCTTAAAAAAGGATCTGATACGGCACAATGCAATTCGTATCAAAATGCGAATTTAGTGCACATATAATAGCGAGGAGTAAGGAAAAGCGGATAGTCCATTGTCAGTCGTATTTCACAGATTGCTCGATAAGGCAGTATATTGTAAATACGAGAACTATCACTCCTAGTACTTTGCTAAAGATAATGGAACGTTTCAGGAGAATTAAATGTTCATAGAATTCGTAATTCCTTACAAGAAGTTTACGAACAACTTTTCGGAAAGTCTACCAACGAGACATTTCGATTGATGCAGAGAGAACAAAGAATCGGTGTAAATGAAACTAGATAAAAATGAAGAAAGTTTAAGAGGATTAAATAACGAATGACCACTTATTTTTGTCGAACAGTTCCTCCAAACATTTTGGACTATGCGACAAGTACTGACATGGTGGTGCCAGAAGGAGACAATGTGACTTTACACTGCGCGGCGACGGGATTACCGGAACCCAACATCACCTGGCGTCGCGAGGACGGCAAGCATATACTCCTTGGGAACGGCACAGAAGGTCAGTTTAATCCCTATCAGAGTTTATAGCCACTAACACGGGTACCATCGATAGTTTCGCAGCGAAGTCGACCTGATTTTTACAAAATTTTTAATCTTACAGACTCGCGTTCATTAAAAGCTTTTACGCAAAAACGAAATATAATTCTATATAGAAATCAGTTGGAAAAATGCTGACGCAGTAGTCAAACCGAATTAATCCATGGAAAAGCAGAGATTCATAATATTGTTGTAAATCCTATTTAGAGAAATAATTTTCAGTGGCAGGTGTTTGAAATCCGTTACGCGTCAGAGTATACGCGAGCATCAGTTTGTGTGCAAACATCATGTCCTCTAAATACAATGAATACTGTATTACGTGCGCGCGATTGTACGTCGATTTTCAAACTCTACAAACGAATTTAAAGTCTACGTCTGCTAAACTGTGAAAGCGTGCTCGTTGGATTCGCTACGAGGCAGTAACGGGAGCCTCGTAGTCCCCGGGGATCGCAAATACGTATCCCTTCTGAGGAAGGCCAGTAGGTTAGATGCCGGTGATATGTTTGCGTAGGTGGGAAGAGATCTGCTATATTTGCATTGAAATTGGCAAACAGCGCGGGGCGCTGTGGCCTGGCAGGATGATTTTGCGCAGCACTCTTGAGTGTCTCGCGTGAGCTTCCTGCTTCCTGCGTCCGAGTACAATGAAACATTAAACGAATCCACGACTGTTTGTTTAAACCCGACGTCGTCCGCGGCTCGAACAATTTCATTCATCAATTAATTTACACTCTCAAACGTTAAACACCCCGTATGCAGAATTTCGTATATCGGCATTAATCATAAGATGTGAATATAATTAAACGCACATGTCTAGGCATGTATGTGCACGTGAATCGAAGTTTGAAAAAATTGTACATTGACTTGTGTGATTTGTGACGAAACAGAAGTCAGTGAAATCAATTAGATAAAATAAATGTATGAAAAGGGTCGGAACGTTTGTCTCTGGCAGTCATCGTAAAAGCGGAAATTGCCTGTTGGAAACTGCTCAGTTTGCCGGTTGTTTTGTAAGGAAATGATGCAGAGGCAGTGGGAACTGGTTACTCGTTAGGTTTCACGCGGTTTTCGTTCTTTCGTATTTGACATCGTTCAGTTTGTTAGCCGGACGCAAATATTCCAGCAGATTTAATTGTGGTTTAACGGACGAGCGTAGACCGCTTCGACTTCCGGATAAGTAAACTAAATTTTCCGGTCCGTAGCTGCAGAAGACAACACCGAAACTGTGTTACTACGGACTCTGTGTTTCCTGCAAATTTCCGTTTTCGACTTTGACCGTGGAAACGAAAAATTCCATCTCCCGTACGCAACCTACCTTTCGCCGTTCTTTCCGCGGTTTGAGCAATCTCGCTCGTATGACGACGACTATTAGACTCGAATAAAATATTCGCCGAAGTTACCGATATCAGGACGTGAAAAAAAAATGATGTACCACGTCCCGCGGCTGGTATAACTTATCCAATTCGGTGACGGGTCATCCAAAAAATTTGACACGTCATACATTATTTATAGGAATGCGTACTGTTCGATATGAAATCGGTCGCGCAGCGACGACAGAATGGAGAGGAAATGAAAATATTCCATCGGTCGAAATAAAAATTAACGCGCTCGACGGTCTTCGGGCAAAATGTCGGAAAATATCACTCTGAAAAAATATAACTCGGTAAACACGATTCGAGAAATGTGATTTTAAAAATATGACTTAATTGGGGAGGGGACAGACTCCGCGAAGCTCCGGCTATGTTTTTGATTACTTTCCAAAACAAATTATAGGAGAAAATTTCAGCGCAGTTTTCATCGTATTCCGCGGATAGCACTGCCAGGAAATATACTGACGTTGAAAAAGTTGCCCGAGCCCATTTCAAAAACTTGGCGCTCGTATAACAAACTGTCTGAAAGAGTAACTTTGCCCGGAACTACCAAAAAAAGATACATACGGAAAGGATACGTCGGAGCGGCATCAACGGCGCGTATTATCGCGTCGCTTTATGCGTGAAAATGTTTGATAAGATTATTAATTTTACCTGACGTAAAAATGCGTCAGACGCGTATGCACGTTTTTGCCACGTTCAAACTATTTTCCATTTCACGGGACATGGGAAATCGTTCCAATAACATTAGCAAACGCTTTCATTAACTCGTTCAAAACAACTTATGAACGGTTGACATCGTTTTAACTATATCGAATTTCATATCGATTCGTCATACGATTTAGTGCAAATTGTCACGTTAAATTTTAAACTGTAATTACTGTCGAAATTTGTTTAACAGTCATGAACGTCGACGGGCCGAACTTTAACATCACCAAAGTGAGCCGGACGCACATGGGCTTTTATCTTTGCATCGCGTCCAACGGAGTGCCGCCCTCAGTCAGTAAAAGGATCAAGCTGATTGTTCACTGTAAGTACGACGAACTAACAATTTTTTATACTACGTGTTCAACTTCGTCTCGCGAATTCTTGCAACTGTAGAGATTTGCCAAATATCTGTAAATCTTTGAACGACCATTCAAACTCATTAATCCGAACGATAAAACGCGCAAACCGAGAAAGGTAAACGATTATTTACACGGTGTGAAAATTTTGTTTTCCCTGTTCCAGTTCCGCCTAAGATTTGGGTAAAGAACCAATTGGTCGGAGCTCAGGAGGGGCAGGAGTTGACTCTGGAATGCCGTTCTGAGGCTAATCCTAAATCCATCAATTATTGGACAAGGGATAAAGACGAAATAGTTCCGCAAGGTAGGTCAGAATAACATTCCACTGCTTTCCCGCCGCATGGGTAATCATGGGACCGGAGATAATCATGCAAATAAACATTCCTTTAGACGCAGATCGATCGTTCATTAAGAGGCTATACCAGTGTGACCGCTTCAAATTTAGGTGATTGTTGGAAAATTTTTTGAAAGTATTTCATCGAATGTGTCTAAACTTTACGAACGTACTTGCCTGTAAATGAACTGTATAAAATAATTTTTTAATATCAATACTATTAGAAGGCTGCCATTCTCAACCTGTTTGAGATCCAATTTTAAAATGATATTTTTGAAGGTATAAACTTTCGGAAAATGCAAATAACAAAAATTTGATTTCTTAAAAGTGTCATACTAGTATAGCCGATTAATACAGCTATACTTTATCGTTAGATGTACCATTTTCATAGCAGTTATCAGATTCTCGATTTGCGTATTAATTTATAAATAGCGTATAACGACAGATTATTCGACTCACTTTCGTTGAACAAACATGATCTCAATTATAGCCAGTTAAGCCTGTCATAAACGTACGAATAGCTGCGGGCATGTAATCGGCTACAGAGAATTTCCATTCCTTGTTACCCTGTTGTTGTGATCGTTTTATATTTCCGTTTGACTAAGATTCGCCCAGCAGTCTCAAGGTGTAATTACGCGGCAGTGTACTAGCCTCAAGGGGTACAACAGGGATGCATGAACGCGTATAGAGCACGACCGAACGAAGAAAAGTAACCCGTTGTAACGAGCCCTTTGAATAACGAAAAGCTTCATGCCAAACGCATAAACACGCGCGCACGAGGCGAAGCGCGAGTATAAACGTTCCGCTCCGCTTTATGCCCCAGCCTATAAAAGGTGGCTTTAGTACTTTTCCATCGATCCACCGTTCCTTTCACGGATCCTCGTATTTTCCTCGCATCACGATCCCTGCACACACTGCGCGCCGTACGGGCTATGCGCGATGCCCGGTGTGCGGTTCGCGTCAAACACATTTTGACATATAACCATCCGACCGACCGACCGACCGACCGACGCCATCCCATTTCACATGGTTTGTAAGGTCATGGCGCGTCAGCAACCCTCGAACGCTGCCCGAATTTACTTTCTTTCAATTGCCACTTTCGCGCGCCGAGATACCCCATCGATCTCTGCCCATCGACGATTTTTACGTCCCTCCGTTCCGAGAATTTTTTCCCATTTTCGACTCGAAACTTTCGACCGTTCGCCCAGCTGTTTTTGTGGTGATAAACGTGTTTCGAGAACCGCATTCGACAGAAACCGAGGTAACTGAGAAATTCCCAAGTTCTACACGCTTTTCCAAGTCTCTATTAATAAATAGTAAAATTCAGACAGTTCCCAGTCCTTCGATGGATCGATCGGACTCGTCTTCTCAGCAGATCGCCGACGGAAAAAAGCGAATCGACTGCCTGGTGCGTTTATCTGATTGATACGTCATGCACCGGCGCGGAGCGCGGCCAAATGTTTTGCCAGATTTACCTTTCAATCGGTTGCTCGAACAAAATTAGCTCTTGAATAATGCATGCGAATTCAAGCAGGACGTTAAAGGTATAACATGATTTTATTTGGCATTTATGAGGAGTGCCGAGGATGCGTGCACGTGTACTGAACGGTACGCCTGGCCTTTTCTCTACCCGTTATTACGTCGTTGGTATTTGCATTTGTATCGAAAGCAATAACGATGGCAACGCAGAACGCGAATTTCGACCCTAGAATCAAGAGACGTCCCATAATTCCGATGACGTTGCATACGTACCGAAAATTAATTGAAGATTAACGATCAATCGATCGATCGATTGATTTAAAATTACAAGGAAATCTGCGATCAAATTTCCTTGAATAATATTCCAATTCGAACCAGAAGGTTGACAATTGTCTAAGTCGTAGCACAAAGATTAATATCTAATTTCAGTGGCGGTCGTTACACGACGAGCAATGTTGGAACAATTTATTGAATGGGCGAACAACGAGACGACTCAAAGGGAGAGAGTGTACTCCGAAAAATGATTGGGCATGCTTGACCAATTTCGCTGTCCGATTCATCAAATTTATTCACCAACAGAATCTCAATGGCACGGATTTTCTATATTTTCTTTCTTGTCGATTCGACGATGATTCATGGACATTCTCGGCACACCTATTCACCTCGGAATCGTACTTTCCTTTCATTATTTCGCTTTGCATCCACGTAGCCTTGCTATTCGCGGAAGATGGTTACCGACGCGGCGCGGGTGGCACCGTTCGATGAAATCTCGAGTCTTGGGAGCCGGCGAACGGAAACGTGCTTGAATGGTGTCGATCTAAACAGAAATCACGTTGACTTAGACCAGGGCACGGCGAATACCGAAATAAGCCAGACACGGGGCCATCTTTCGAACTGATTGAACCATTGTGATGTTTGGAAGATGCCGAAATTTCGGCGCACATATCTCGGCTCTCGCAATCGGCACACGCCACGCTAACGTTCCTGTCCCGAACAGCCGGCAGAACACCCACCGCTGACCATTTACGATCATTTTATATCGTTGCCACGTGTTACGAACATCTGATTATTCAATTAAAATAGTTAATCTTTCATTTAGAATATCAAATAAATAATGAATCACTTAACTTTAGTAATACTAAGAGCTGATTGTTTTTCGATGTGGCGAAATAAATGTTTCAATCAATGAATTGTGTGTCTAGACGTTCGCCGATATTTTCGAGTGCTGTTTGTTATTCTCGAATCAGTGCCCTAGATTTAATATAAACGAACTTTACTTGATAATAGAGGATGTTTGTTGATAACACTTTATTCAATTATTCTTTGCTACTATTATAGCACGATTTCAATAATGATTAACCGAAATAAATACGGTGTTTGCTTTCAGGAGGCAAGTACGATCCGATACTGGAGGACGACGAATACAGGGTTCACATGAAATTGACAATAAATTCCGTGGGTCCATCGGATTTTGGATCGTATAAATGTGTCTCCAGAAATTCATTAGGAGACACTGATGGCACCATCAAAGTTTATCGTAAGTAACCTCAGACGCATCGCTGTCACTAATACCGAACGAACGTTGGATAAAACGCGACTAATATCGATCCTAAGAAACGTTGTTTCTTGAAACAAAACTAGATGCGTTTGCCTGTAGCTTATAACAATTTCACAGGGATTGTAAATAATGCAAATTCACAGATTCAAGTTTCCTCGAATAAATATTCTCTGCGAGGAAGTCGTAACGTATTTTGTTGCGAGCGGTTATCTTGAAAACTGTTTTATGCCAAGTGTACGTTTACCGAAAGTGTTTGCGCGTTGTAAACTTTTAGTCGTAATATGAAGAGTAACAGGGGAGTTGGAATCTTTAAAAGTTAGAACACGCGTAAACAGTCAGGCAAGTTCGAATTTGAATTTAAGAATAAACCGCTTCGGTGCTGCATTCTCGTTTAGTTGCACTTTAACAGTTTCCAAAACGATCACGAGAACGTTCAACACCTAGCGGGTAAGGAAGTATTGGTTGATTTTTCTTCCGCGTTACGCATTATTATTACAACTTGTATTCGACGCTCTTCAGATTTTATTACATTCGTTAAAATCTATCAGCCGATTTTACGTCTTTCAGCACGAACACCGATGTCGAACTCCAGTAGAGGCAATACCAAGTACAAAGGTAAATTTTCATCGTAAACACGATATCATTTATCTCATATTAAATTCACGACTCGACAGTTTCTATCTAAAGCTCGATGTATGCCCTTGGCAAATGTACGCGCATCTTCTCGCGTTTAAATTTCCATGCACGACACAGTCCGGTTTAAAAATCGCATTTTTAACGCGGCTCATAGATTAATAATCCCGCAATCAGTTTATCACGTCGACCGTTATTTTTTCTTCTTCCATCGGCCGCTCGCCGGGAATCCAGATCATCTGCGGCGGTGGTTTATTTTTTATGCCAGACACGCGAACTAGGAATCGGGCACACAGCCCACCGGTCTGACCTACGTGTTATTGCTCGCTTTGTGTCGAGTGGGTACTTTGCGAATGATGCAGCGTAACGTACTCGCGATTAAATAACGGGTCGCTGATTAATTAGATCGAGTGTCTAGTTTGTACATACCGATCCACTCCGCGGATATATTCTGTGAAATCAAGACCCCTACAAAAGCTAAACGCAAGTCCGTTGCCGGGTTTCACGAGGCGGCGCGGCTCATCAAAGCTCGTTCGGCGTCAGAATATGCCATCCCGGGTGTCGGAGGAAATAAAATGTCGTTCCTTTAAACGGACATGTAAATCGTTTTCTTTAAATGTAAATCCAAACGGGGATCAGTTTCACGAACTAATCACCAGACGGAAATTAATCGAATTTTGTTGTCGTGCTCCCTGCGACGCAATCGATCTTTTTACTCGAATACCAATGAACTCGATAACTAGATTAAGTTTTTTCTTCTTCCATCGTTCCGCGTTGATCGAATATTTACGGAGAAGCGGAACTGGATAATTAACGAGCGCGGATAAAAGAACGCTTTGTAATTTTTTAATACGATTTAATACTGGACGCAAACCGTCTGATTCGAAATGTCAATACTATGAACTCTTTATTAATAGTTGATACCTCGTTAACGCTGGACGAAGAACGTGGACAATTTTTTTAAATAGCTTCAAACGATAAATAAACTAAGCAATGCAACAGTTAAAAATTACTGCAGTAGATTTACTGCAGCTCTTTTTTATTTAAACGAACAGATATTTTTATATTTATCTTTTATTCTCAGTATCTTTAATGCGGATCTTTTTTTGTTAACCGTCGGTGTACTTTCATGTCAATATCCTCCGTGGCTGCACAAAATGTACCAGTATCCCGTGTGTAAATTGAACTGACCGCTCAAGGCTATCGAAGGATAAATCCCACAATATCGTTTAGCCGCTATCAGCGACCTCATGTTTTTCCGTAGCCGCTCGATCGTATTGTTTGCTTTAAAGCCAGAAGGTGCAACTTTACAGATTTACCGTTCCCAATGTGCCGCAATATGTGAGCTCGCGCTGACAAAACCGAACCGTCTCTTCGTTCAAGGAATTCTGAAGAATTTCAAATCGTGGAAAATATATGAGATCGATCCCGAGAGGGAGAAAATAATTTAATCCGGAATGACGGAATCTACGGAGTTCCATTTCATTATAAATTCTGGTGTTCGCGGATGAACAGCGAATTTTTCCGCGGAAAATATCGCGATATTTCCGTGCCCGTAACGTAACTGCTTAAAGTCTTTCGAAGGACAGTTCCAGGCTCGCGGTGCCCTCGCGGTGCTCGTTTTTCGCGTCGAGACGGTGGAACTATTTCTGTGTGAAATCGTGGATGAATAGGAACCGCCGTGTCAGATTTACAAGCCCACCATCTCATTTGCTTTCGACAGGCAGCGGAGCCGGTTTGCGAAGAAGGCGTACAAAAGTCGATAGAGAGAATCCCCGGTTCGTTTCAGAGAGGAGCCGGACGTTTAGAAGAACGCCTCTATAAAAAGCCACGGTTGAATGCCATTTTGAACTTACACCTTGTTCATCAAAAACCTCTCCTTTTTCCCTCCGAGCGAAACGCGAGCCTTTTGCTAAACTTCCTGTTTGTTTTCAAACGCCATTCGCGCGCACGCTATTTTCTAAAAATCCTACCACCCACACATCTAACTTGCACCTTATGTGAATTATAAATTCTCATACGACTTGTACTAAATCCATAGGCATGCCATTCGAGTTTAATATATTTTTCCACCACACGTGAGTTCCAAAACTGTTGTTCAAAATAATTGGAATCGATATATAAAACGTATCTGCGATAATAAAATTTCCGAATGTATAAAAATATTAATATTGGCTTTGATTATGACAGTTTCGTACAAAACTGGTAATTTCCACCATATTTTTTATTTAATCATGTTATCGGACTGGCTTCTTTGAAGCACATTTTTACGTCTGTTTTTGCACGCTATCTCCCTCGGCTGTATTATCCGATATATCTCTATGTCTATTATCTCGTCTCCCTTTGAGGCAGCTTCGTACGAAGCCTCTTTTCATTTATATCACATTTACATTTTCCCGGGTCTCTCTTTGAAAAATGAACAATAGGAAGATTTTCTTTATTTTCATAATCTTGCACCATCCTAATGATTTATGAGCCCGGGTATGCTCGACTTGAATATTCTCGTATCCGTACTACCGTATCGTTGTAACGCAATCGTACACGTGATAAAAAGACCAGCGAAGAATAAAAAAAAAAGTTCTAATTAATATTCGCGACGAGACTCTTAATTTAGATTAATGTATGCAAACGATTAAGAATCAGGCTCGAAATCATTTTTATTCAATAGTCGATCGTATTGTCTACTAATATCGGAGCATCGGCTGCCGCTATTCATTTTCCTCATCTCATGAATACTCTACGCCCCGATCGTAATGAAAAACGAAAGAAAAGAGGTGGGAAAAAATCCACGATTTATTATTGGCTCAGCCGCATTTGCGTGTACACTCGAAGGTCGGGAATCGATATATGCAAAATATTTTGATGCTAACAGATTGAGAGGCGACGTTGCGTTCGATGGAAGATTTATAGAGCCGTTTCGAGCCATAGGTCAACTTTATTGAACTCTCTCCACTCTTCTCTGCGCGAGTACCTGCCACGGGATTTAGAGCAAATATCGCGGGTATTACCGGCAAACAAAATCACAGATTCGATATTCAACCCGTGACCATTTCTCCTTTAGTTTCACGCGTACGACGACGAATTAAAGATTCATGCGGCCTTGATTGTCTCTAATGAAGTCGACTTTGAAAAGATTAATGTTTGCTCTCTGAGATTGTTCAACTTTGTCAAAAAAGATTAGTCTGTGATAGTGCCCGAGAAAAATGTGTATCCACGTATGCGAATAGAATGTAATTAAATTTTATAAAGTTCTACACAAGGAAAAACGCCGATGATAATTGACGTTACCGTTCCCGATAGCAATTATTGCTCCCGTTACGTTGGAACGATTTATGTTACGTCCCCAACGACTCTGTTCACGTTCCCTTGCCTCATTACTCGAGGAAATACGCGGGTCTAAGACTTGACGACACGCCGAATGAACTTTTCGTTCGAACTTGGACAAAACGTCCGATCGGTTTTCCGGCCCCAGCGGAAAAGCAACCGCATTTTTCCATTTTCATCCGTATTTAACGTCAACCCCGGTTGTTCGAGCTCTCCGTCCGAATAAACGAGATGAAAACGCCGCGATTCCGTCCCTCCTTTTTTTTTATTTCCCCCTATGCCCTATACTGCACCTCGTTAAAAAAAGAATACCGAGACCCGAATATAAAATCTGAAATATACGTTACAACGTTCGACAAGACAATAAAATTGCTCCTGGTCAAACCAGAATTTTTCAAATTTTCCTTTCGCGGAAATAAATATTCCTACATTCCCAAATCCGCGATACATATGAAATTTTCATACATATGAAATTTTCTCGTGAGAAGATTAATATTTTTAATGTAATATTTAGAACGTTTCGGTGCAATGAATCTCATTTTTATTTCAGGTAAACTGAAACATAATTTTGGGAACGATATTTTTGAAGGCAATCAGGATATGTTGAAGGACAGGGGTAAATATATGAAACGTTATATATCATTTGTTTCCAATTTTTAGAAATCCTTGTCAAATGTCCATTTTTAAAAAGTTTAGACTTACGTACATGGAATTTTGTACAGTGTTTTATTAATGTAATATCTAGAAACTGACAAAATTTCAATGCTTTGTCATTGTTCTTATGTAAGGGTTCATACAACCCTAATTTCCTGTTGCAGATTCGAAGTTGCGGGGTCGTAAGGAAACCAATGGACACGAGGGAGACGACTACGACGATTCCGGCGCGTCGTCGTTTCACGGGAATTCTTTCAGTTTGATTCTAGCCCTGGCAACGTTCATCGTTTACCTCTACCATCATCCCCAATTAAGGACATTGCATCCAGCTTGAAAATTGGCTTTAATCGCGCCAGCGCGTCGTCAGATTCTGATCTCGATCGCGACTCATCGAACATTTGTAAATCCACTTAGAAATCCATCGCTCAGGGACTCCATACCGAGGATATAAATCGAATCATTAAAACTGCGCTGACCATTCACACTGTATTATAAACGCGACATTATTAACATAATTGTCATCGCCGTGTAACGACGCTAGCTTAATCGTGGGGAACCGATTGTAGCGAGCAATAAAGTAAACCCAACAGAAATGAACAAGATCCTGTGCTGGAATTGAATTTGTAAGCGTCTTACGTATCGTGTAACTATGCGTAGCGAGCCTAGATCATGCTCAATGGTAATTGTCGTTGTACTTTCGAGCTAGTCAGTAACTAATCCCAAACTTGTAGCTTTTACTTGTACGTTTTCAGTTAAGTTAGCCATGTGTGATCCGTGTTTGAATCAATCGTAGAATCGACGTCATAATTAATAATGAATTGTTTAAACGCGTACTTCTATCATATATTATTTATAAATTAATAATTAAAAATAATATATTAATAATTAATTTCTCATTTTTCGTAAGTCAGATAATTTACACAAATTATATATTTCAAAATATTGTACACGATTAAACTTTGATCGTTTTTAATTGTAAGAGTCTAAAATTAATTTTGCGACCGTATAATAGGGAGTGCTTAAATACTGTAGCAGTGACTCGTGTTTGTATCGAGGACAGTGTTTGCCAGAGGAAATCGAGCAATTATCATCTGTATGTACATATACATATACGCCCGTCATATATGTATAGTATATTATATAAAATAATGTAATACGGCCCATATATTTGTATAGCATGTCGTATACGTGTATATAACGTAACTATACATAGTAATGTTAGGTAATAGTATTGTCCAAAGACTGAGAACGTCGTTTCGACGCTCTTCAACTGTGCGTTTAAGTAAAATTACGTACAGCTGAAACCGAGTTCACCCCCGGGGGCCATGGAGATCATGACCAACAAACATGTACAGCGGCAAAGTGACGGAAGAATCAAGACCTTTTTAACTGCCCTAAGAAAATCGTTTCGGAAGAGTTAGGAAAAGACACGAGTATCAAAGAATTAAAAAATTGAAATCCATAAAATTGGGACGAAGTATGACTCCTTACATGAACTGAAATTTCAAGACATCCTTCAAAAACTCATGCTTTTCCAAAGGTGTAATAATGAATGTTAAATTTTTATAACAACGTTCCCTGAGACAGATTTGAAGATCTTATGAAAATACCATTAACTCTATTACATAGTCTACAAACGTAATGCAAATTGAGAGTGTAAATTGAAACTTGTAGACTTGACAAAGTAATCTATTGAAACAGAGGTTTAATGGTTTAAATAAAATAAATGTAAAGAGTGCGAGGCTTTATAGGCATTAGAATTCAATTACAATTTCATGTGAAGATTATGAATGTACGATCTGCTGAGGTTTAATATTAATTAATACCGTAATTCCTTAATTTTCATTTCGCATATAAAGCGTAATCTATTAATGTCCTGCAAATGACTGTTTATTTGTCGCGTTGTATATAGTGATACAAAACCGTGTCGTAAATAAAAAAACGTAAGAGTAAATTGATTCGGAAGTTATGGAACTGAAGCTAAAACATATCGGAATATCGATTATTTATTAAAATTGACATATCCACGTCTAAAATTGATTTCTTCATAGATAACTTACACTCCATTGCATTTGTCAATTGAATTAACTATCCAATAAGTACCAAATTTTCATTTGTACAAATAACAAATTGTTACTGATTGCCATAATCGGGTGTAATGTTACGTTGTGAACGTAGACAAACTTTTATATCACCTGCATTGTAGATACCATTGTAATCAATGTTGAATGATCGATGTAATTAAAATAATTTGTAATGCGGAGCTGTGCGAATCGAATCATACGATGCTTAAGCATATACGAGCAATCATAAACGAATGAGGATGTACTACGTTACATAGTGTACAGATAGACTGCATTTTCTCCTGCTGTAGCGATTATGTATGCCTCTACGATACACGATATAGCGCATTAATATACATATAAATGAAGATAAATAGAATTCTTGAACGTTTGTACATACATACGTTAAAGAAAAATATTAATTGCAATACATGGTCCTTTGATTTTTACTAAGGGTGCCGATCTAAATTTTAATGTAGATCAACTTCCTGGACTCTTTCTCTCGTTTCCAAACATTTACTAATTGATTTTTGTTACCGTAGAAATGCAAATTCATTTACCAACGAAAACGCTTTTTATTTATGACTTTACACAACTTGTTCAAAATGCTGATCGGCATTACTACTTCATGATACCAAACTGAATTCCAGAATATTTTTTATGAATTTTGAATGCCACATTCTGTCATTGAAATTAAAACAAATAAAAGAACGCAATTAAATATTATAATCGATAGATTAGTTTCCTCGCTTTCTTGCGTTTTATATTATAATTAGAGAGCCATATACTCATAAAAATAAAAAATTTAGCAAGAGACCAGGAGATCGTCCATATACACATAAAAATAAAAAATTTAGCAAGGTAAGTGGATAAAAATATGGAAATGTTAGAGAGTAAATGTGTATGTTACAAAACCTGTCAGTCCATTACTGTCAAATTAAATATGAAGAAACAGGTTTTAACAATATTTATTTGGCAATAATATCAGTGTTACTAATTTACACATTCATTTATCAAGTAACACTAGAATGCATTAAATCAGCTAAAGCCTTTTGCCTAAGGGTATATAATTTTTTTACCCACTTATCAAATCTTACCTCGTGATCGATCATTATCTGAAAAACAGATTTAGAATAAGATACATAAATAATCAGTTGATATTATGTACATGCACGAGAATAGGGAACACGCATTTACCGATGAATGGAAGATACTTTCAGATCCAGACGGAATTTCAGCCACTGTCGGAACTTGTATAGTATCTGCACTTATATCTATCACAATATTTTTGAATTTCTTTTCTTTTGTATTAGACGATGAAAACTGTTTGGGTGTGAAACCTTCAGAATTGATTTCGTCTAACACACCTTCTTTGAAACGTGGTTCAATAGGAAAATCATCTGTAGACAAGCAGTTTCATGGAAATTTAATGACTAAATTTTTAGCCAAGATATTATATGATAATAGGTATACCTTTAATTAGAATATTTTTGGACTTTTCGAATATGGTAGCTTTAACATTAGATTGTGAACTGCTCGAACGACTCCCAGACTTTTCTCTTGAAATGGATCTGGTTTTTCTTTTTGAACGATCCGAAGACCTTGATCTAGAACGATACCTATATCTTTCTCCTCCTTTAGAACTACTGTTTCTAGATCTTTTGTACGCTTTCTGATTACGATCTCTGTCTCTTTCTCTGCTTCTAGAACGCGAGCGATATCTGCGCTTTGTTTTTATATGTTTGGAGGATCTACGTCTGTGAGAGGACGAATCACTAGAATCTGAACTAGAGGATCTGAAAAGTAATTTTGTTTCTTTAATTAAATGAATTAACAGGATGATCTTGTTAATGTCAAAGTACATGTAAATGGAGTTTGTTATCATGTACGAAACGTTTTAAGATTATTTACCGAGATCTTCTACTACGTCTACGACGATATCTACTATTGTGATCTGAGTCTGATTCACTAGAATATCTTGCCATAATTGTCAGTAAAAGGTTTGTTTATTACACTCTTAAATTACTGTCAATAAATGCACTTGCGTCCATGATCGAGCGGTTCGAGAACTACACCGTGAAGTTGGCTCAACTCGGACTCGAAGACTCGAAGCATATTCCGTTAGTACGAGGTGCTGAAAGCTGAAGTTGGTGCTGCGTTCTGTAGTGCAGTGCAGGTAGTGCATGTCGGGTGGGTCAGATCGTCGGGTTATATGATGTAGAGATCGAAATTGTTGCAATTTCTGATACACATATTCATCTAAATAGTTAAACGACACAAGGTAATTGCTTGTACGTCTTTTAAATAACAGTGCAAAGTTTCGTATTGATCCGTGATGCGAACAGTAATTCGTGACAGATGAACGTTCTCCGCCAAGTTCGATGATGAATGATGTATCGTGAATATTAATCAGTCTGTTAGTAACGTGTATGCAATAATCACGATTTGTGAATTCATTTAATTGTCCGCGATTACGTTATTCCTTTCTTCGTGCAATGCTTCGAATCTAAAATGAAACCTGACTCGAAACTGACGTCACGAGAAATCAATAATCGTATCTGAATCCGGTTGAAGTTCCGTTAATAAGTTCGCGGAACCTGTATAGAATTATATGATTTCCATGGAATGCATTTAAAACAGCCTTTTGTGATTTTGAAACTCTCTTGTTAATTGAAGTGTTCACGAACATTTTGTTCAGATATTTGCGGCACGATGATGTCTGACCGAAAAGCAGAACTTGAGAGGAAGAAAGCCAAGCTTCAGGCTATCAGGGAAGAGAAGGAGAGACGTAGAAGAGAGAAAGAACAGAAAGATGTAAGGAATCTGTCTTTAAATTTATATATCTGAAACCTCTTGGTTATTTTATTCATTTTCAAATTTCTGATTCGAAGGTCGAGGAAGCTACGGTTCGTGCTGCAGGAGCAGACAAGGACCATCGCAAGGAACTAGATACAATGCTTTCATCTTTAGGTCTAGCACCAGTATCAGGTACTTAAATCTATTTACTTCTTATTTATTCATTTCTTTATGTATCATCCTTCTTATAATTTATCTTATTTACAGATGTATTATCTAGTTTATCTAGTATAAATTCTTTGACACCAGAGCAAAGTGCAAATGCTACTCCTGATGCTAGTTTACAGCCATCTAGTATAAATTCTGCTCAAAGGTGCGTATGGGTTGTGCATTTTACATTTTTAATTTCACATAGAAATATATTTACATCCTTCATTAAATATCGTCTTCTTTGAGTAGTAGTGCTAGGAAGAGGAATAGGGAACTAACAATTGTTTCTGTGGCACATACCAATATCCCACCGAAGGAACCAGTGGTATATACTAAACAGACGCAAACTATCCAGACATCTCATACATCTCACGACGGTGAGTCACTATATTCATCTTCTAAACTATCGCACTCTGTGTTGCTCTCAATTATTAAGTTAAAACTACATACAGAATTATAAAATTTATATTAAATTGAAGTATTATGTTATACATGATATGAATTGAAATTTGATATTTGCATTGACGAGATAGATATATGATGTTGCACATGATTTAATTAATCTTTTGTAACAGCTTTTAATCCGTTGTATTTAACATTATCAATGTAAGTGTGACGAGTTTGTAACTTTATACAGTAACTCTACTCACATAAGAATACAAAGGATTAAATGATAATGATATTAATTACACTATTAATGTTTTGAAATATGTTATCACTCTCACATATGCCTAATTATGGTTGAATATGGTAAAGTGGGTGGTGTATATAAGAACGCATATTTTTGATATATGCCATTGATCAGGCATTATTAATGAACGTTGAATACAATTATTAACGGTATTTCATAATATTTTAATATGAAATTGATCACTTCACTCGTTTCATTTACAACATTCAGTTTGTTGTAATAATAGCGTTATTTTACTCATTTATCTTACACATCTTATGATTAATTTCTTAACTAATGAGGAAACTTACATATTCTTAAAACGTGTCCATACTTAGCATGTTATATTTTTCGAGTATCATTGACACTCTTTTCTGTCCATTAACTCTCGATCGAATTAAGCTCTCAATACCTTTAAATAGGTATTTTTACATTTACTAACTTGTGCGAAAGAAATTGCACAAGAGATTTACTTGTGACTTTTTAACAAGTCTCGCTTGGTTTACATAGTTTTTAAACCAGAAACGATAGTTTACAGGAAGATGTTACGTATGTACTATATTAATAGGATTTATAGTTTGTACATAGTTTGATAGTAGTCGTGACCAAGTTATTTTAATGGTGAAGTAACAGACTTTGTTACACCTGTTCGTTTCTGTGAATATTTTTATGGACAGTACGTGGGAAAGGTATAAGAGAGTAGAAAAACGAGTTATGTCTAATATAACATCAGGTTGTGGAGCAAATATTTTTTTTGGTGGTGGAAAAAGGGGAAAACTGTTTGTTTTTGTTCATTTTTATTTTCCACTTTCGTTTTTGTTAATCCGCAATTTCAGTTAGTTGCCATACTTTTATTTTCTAATTTATTTCGCATATTCTTCACAACGTAAAAATTCATCAGAAGTTAACAGATATCTCGTCGAGTCATTAAATGTTCTGTACCACCTACTTTATTACAAATGTCTGACTGAAATACAGATACGTGTACAGATATACAATAATGACATACTTCTCTTTTGATGTTGTAAGAAAAAAGTATTTGTATGATTCCGATAAGGATCAGGGGCATCTATCGCGTGTGTTACATGCGTGTCCCGCTACCTAACTGATTTTGCGGCATTATTAAATATACGCGTAATTCCATTGTCTTGCGATGCGAAATGGTCAAATCAACTGGTGTTGGACATAAGGACTGTCCGCATCTTCTTCTGCATACACCATCTACTCCTCCTGTTCAACAACAACACCAACTCACTCTTACTTCGCAGGCTACTTTGAGACTGACTGGTGGCGTCCCAGGAAAGGTGGGTCTGCACCAAACTACCTATGTATGTTCTGTCTTCTTTTTATTACCTTTCCTATTATCGTTGTACAACAGTATATGATAGAGGTAGATACACGGCTATCTATATTTATGACGATGGGATGTAGAATCAATTACCTGAAAAGCTCTCTTGTTTCTCTCAAGTTTCCTTCAAACTAATAACAACAGCCTACCGATAGATAATGAATAGAATTCACAAGGTGTGATAGAAGCATTGTTCCTGCTTCCATTTATGAGTCTGTAAAGAGATATACTAGTATTAATTATTCTAGACGATCCGCAGATGGATTTTTATGTATTATTTTACACCTTAATTACAATTAGAAATTAATTTAAATAGCAAGTTCGTAATAGCAAGTGGTAAAGGGTATTGATTCTACAACTTTACTTGTTTCTTACATGTTGTGTGTGGAAATAAAAGTACTCCAACTTGACTGAGGTAACTTGGCAAAGTATATGAAAAGCGTCAAGAGAATAGTATTAATTATTTCTGGCATACAACTATTATTTCCATATGCGATGTCTACTTGTTTGCATAAATGACAAGCTTCTAACATGCTTTAAATAATTCAATTGGATACTGTACTAACAGTTTATTTAATTTATATACAATAACACTGAGCGTCCTGTTTGTTGGGAGATATTCAAAGATTATTTCAGTAAAATGTACCTTGACTCATGTGCTGTGTTAGTGTTAAACTTGTCGAACAAACAAATAATCGTTATTGATGCTTCGATAATAATTTAATTGACAGAGATATCTGTAGACACTGTTCCATTCGCAGTAGTTACCATAACATGTTAGTAATTGAATTTTTAAACATCTTTATTTCATCTTTGAGAAGAACGTATACGTATAACAATTAAAAAGTATTTTTTATGTGATGACTAGCCGTTTTAATTTGTCATAGTATGCAGAGTTTAGCACGTTCTAAACAGGTTCACTGTTCTAACCAGAGATTTCGATTTTTAGCAGTTCGCAGTGAAATTTATTTCTGAGTAATTTAGGGGGGTGGGTATAAGTGTGACAAGGGATGTAAGTGAGATATTCGATTTTAATGCGCTTATATTTCCATTGGTAGCCGTATTAGGAAAGCTGAATTAATGTTAGCGTGTGCTATTCAAAAGAAGGTGTTGAATTACGACAATAAATTAACATACGTTAAGTGGACTATCTATTTGGTATTCAATTGATATCGTCTGAATTAGACATTAATTATCGAATATGTATGTTTCCTCGTACACGTAGGAGCCACAGCATCGTACGATATAAAAATTTTACATATCTGTAACCACCTAACTACATTCAGCAAACAAAAATGTTATTTCATTCCTTTTTCCAAGTAACACTTTTATTTTCGAGAATGAACAATGACTGATTTTATTAGGGATTAATTCTTCCATACAGGTACACGAGTATGACACGAACTTAATATAAAGCGTGTTGTAAATGCTTTAAAACAAAATGATGAAATGTACTTTTTGAATTTTCGACGACATGGTATCATGTATTTTTCGTATTTAATTTTATGTACCTCAGGTTTCGTTGACGAAACCTTTTCATTTTTCTGAAAAATGCTTCTAAATAATCTGAGTGTAGAGAGGTGCTATTAGTGTAGTGCATTCTTGAAAGATTGTAACTAAGTGCAATTTTTTTCCCCCCTCTTCTCAGCTCATGCATTCGACTATTACGGTAAGTTATGATTTCTCTTGGTTTTGAACAAATTTTAAGTTCAGATTTAGGTTTAGCTACGAATATTTCGTTTACACTCTCGCGATTGATCGATAGATTAGAAATGTTAGGATATGATAAATTCGTACGATTATTAAATTCCACGAGAAAGAATTTTTAATAAATAAGTGAGTCATTGCATTAGATAATAATTTGAAAAGCTAGAGAATGCACTCTCTCTCTCTCTCTCTCTCAACTATGTATTTAAAAGTTTAATAGAAAAGTGAGTTTTGAATGAGATTCATTAGCATCGCAGGCAGATATAAAGTTACTCTCCACCCAGGATCTGATAAGTACTTCTTCGCTCTCTTTGCTTTGGACCTTTTTACCCTTTTACTTTTTATTTTATTTCATTGGTGTATTTATCTTCGATTTCTGTTTATTATTGTTTAAATTTATCTGACATCCCGATTCTCAAACGGAAATGTTTTGGCATTTACACATGTCTAAAAGTATGCACTTTAATAAAACACTCTTTTACAATGAACAATGTAATTCCAAGTAATCTTTACAAAGTGTATATAATTTCATGTTTCGTACAGCTTAAACACTTAGTAAAATTGAAAATTTTCTGAAGTTCACGGACTACCTTTGGAATATTTAATTACTTGCCTAAAGAGTTCCACTTAGCATAGATATTTGATATTACATGCATATTTCTATGACAGTATCTTACTTTTATAATTCGAATCGTTTGCTGATATTCGATGTTGTTTGAAACTGGGATTGTCCGAAGTATCCATTGACAAATCTTGTCACAACTTAACGCACCTTCCAGAGTTCTCGGCGCTATGTCACGGTTCTAGTTATGGGTTGTTGCGATACACTAACAATATGGGAAACGGGTTTCATGGTGTTGGGGCCGTTAATATTAAATAAGCAACTGTTCCTTTATCAAATAGAAGAAAAGAACTCAGCGACGAGTTTCTGTGGCTTGAGCTTTTAATGTCGCAAAAGTTCAATTTGCAAATATCGCTTCTTAATACATGGCACGGTTTCGTTTTTTTGTGAAAATGACGTAGCGAGAAACGTTTGTTCAACTGCGTCGAATATTTATCTAGCTAGATTGTTTGCTCACATAGAAATACATTTTGTGGAACAATATTATAAATAGGTTTTTTACAACAATACGTCCCTCGATAGAAATCGTTCAACTCCTGTGTCGTAACATTATTTAGTTTCGACAAAAAGTTTTGTTCCGCATTCTTAAAATTGAATGAGAAAAGTAATATTAATATAAATTAATAGTCGGAGATGTCAGCCTATTATGTTAAAGCATTTCAATTTTACTTGTTTTTATTTTTTTTATGTTCCAAACGTTATCTGATATTGCGTTTTACGATGGTTTTAGTTTCTGAATATCATTACTATTCCCTTGGATAAATCGTGATCAGACCGATAGACGAATAAAAACTATTAAGATATCTGTAATTGAGTTAAAAACCTAAGGGGATCATAGCTCGATAGAATATTTACACGTAAATTAATATAAAATTGTAGACCTACATGGTTCGTGAAAAATTTACCGATCCCTTTAGAGAACAAAATCTCGTTATCGAACGTAACAACGTTAATAGGGTATATACTCTGTTTGCATGTTTTATAGACGTATTTATTATAATTAATATTACCATTTTCGATTCGATATTACTATTTCAATCTTTCTAGCTAATTGTTGATGTATCTTGCATGAAAATGGATAAGGATCCACGAATAGATATTGCCATAGGTACAAGTGCGATCATTTTCGATCAAAGTCCTGTTCATTTTCAGATGACTCAATAGTATTCAGTAGTAGTATATGTACAGTTTGCGTGCTACTTTTAGAAGTAATTAGCCATTTTTATTTGACCGATTAAAAATTGTTTTGGCATACATCAATAATTTTCTACGAGAGACGTGAAATTTAGAAACAAAAACAGAATTAACATGATGAAACACGTGATTGACTGAGATTTTCTTTTCCCTCCTTCAAGACGAGTACAATCTAAATCCTGGTTTAGAATGGGAGGACGAATTCACAGGTAGGTAATCCTCTCTCGAGACGATTCACTCTACCTAACAGTATCACCCATGTATGAATTACAATAATGTACATATTCATTTTCACAAAAATTACATTCGAGAGTAACGTGCTCGTTTAAGTTCTTTTTTTCTTCTATTCAAATTACTTGCATCTACCGATGCACCGAAAGGAGGGAATCTGTCGATTTACGATCTAAAGTTGCTTGATAAATTATCAGATTGTTTAGTAGTTTACGTAACTGTAAAAATTTTTGCTTAGTCTATTATGCATGCACAGTACGTATGTCTTATCATTTACTAGATCTCATTGAATCATTCGTTCATCTTCCACTACGCATGAATGGAGTACAATGTAATAAATCACTATCATCACTTTTGTTTCGTTTCACCGTTAAGCAGTATTCGTTTTAGTACCTTAGGCTTAGGTTGAACAGTTTCTTTTATATAATAAGTTACACATTTATTGCTGCATGAGACTTGGGAAGTTGCGTTAATCTCCACTCGATATTTTCTATTTGCATCTCTTAATTCCACGTAATAATTGATGTTGTCACGATCATTCTTGACGGAAAGAAAAGATTTGTATTCGTTGATTGAATTAAAGCGCACTTGAGAGAAATCATTAAACGTCGCTTCTTCCGGCACATTACTTCACTTCATTTGCGTTTGCATTTAGTGAGGGGTGGAGAGATACCGTTCCGAATGATTTCCAATCACAAAATGTTTCAGACGATAGTTCAAATCTGAACTTGCATAATCCACCAACAAGCAGTCCACCTTTCCGTTATGCGTTAACTAATATCGATGCATGTGAATTTAATTCGTTCCTTTTTTTTTTCACTGCTGCATATGATCGTTCATCTTTCGGTCAGCTATTGTTATTTTTCCCCCCTTACATTTTATTTAATACGCCTTTGCAAAAGCTTCTGAAAGAGAGTTGCATCCCTCCAAGTTCAAGTTCTCACAGTTTATTTATTTAACATTTATTCCATTTCATGCGTCCAAGTAATTACTAGACAATTTTTACGTTTATACATTTTTTTTTTATACGATTTCTGTTTCACGTTAGGCTCATTTTATTTCAATTATTATTTTACGTAGAGTATCTAGTTCGACTGAATAATCTCACAGTGCAGTGAGACTGTAGTAGTTACTTTCCTTTCTGGATAAACGTAGCATTCGAATTCTCGATGTAGGACATTTGTCAGACGTAGATAGATATATAGAGATTAGGATACTTGTGGCGGAACCAGCTTATTCACCACAGTTTTGACATTTGACGATGGCCAAGCCGAAGATGAAGAAAACAGCCTCCCACACATGGACGGTTTCCAAAGCAAGCTTCCACCCGGAATCCTTCCTCACGGTTTACCGCAAGTCAAGGAAGTGCAACCAGCAGTCACGCAAGTCGAACAGGAAAAGGAAAAAGAAAAACCTGTAGAAGGTAGTTTTCTTTCTTTAACAACGAGGGAAAAATATATAGATCAAGTTTGATTTCAAATGGACCACGGGGTAATATGTGACGTTCATTTCTAGTACGAGAACTCAGCGAAGAAGAGAAACAAATGATAATACTTTCCGAGGACTTCCAACGATTCCTCGATCGTGCCAGTAGAATTTTGGAAAGGGCACTAGGAGAATCCGTTAACATTTATACCGATTACACCGGTTCTATGGACGGCGAGGACGGAATGTGAGTGAAGATAATCGTTTAGAGGTTTTATTTCTGTCGTACTCAACCAATGGGATTTTCGCAGGGATGAGAAGAGTCATCAACGTTTATACGTGAACCGATGGTTCTTCGATGAACGATGGTCTCGCAATCGTTGCGTGACATCGATGGACTGGTCGCCTCAGTTCCCAGAGCTCCTCGTAGCCTCGTACAACAATAACGACGACACTCCTAATGATCCGGACGGAGTATGTTTGGTGTGGAATACAAAATTTAAGAAGACAACACCAGAATTCATTTTCCACTGTCAATCTCCGGTCATGTCGACCACGTTCGCGAGATTTCATCCGAATTTAATCTTGGGCGGTACTTATTCAGGGCAGATCGTGCTCTGGGACAATCGAATCCAAAAGAGGACTCCAATCCAGCGTACTCCGTTATCAGCAAGCGCGCACACAGTAAGTCTTGACAATTTTTTTATGCTTTCACGTATATTCACGGTGCGAATAATAATTGTAACTTGTCACAGCATCCTGTGTACTGTCTAAACGTTGTCGGGGCACAAAACGCGCACAATTTGATAAGTATATCGACCGACGGGAAATTGTGCTCCTGGAGTTTAGAGATGTTGTCACAACCGCAGGAGACATTAGAGCTGCACATTAAACAGTCGAAACCGATTGCCGCCACCTGCTTGGCATTCCCTCACGGGGACGTTAATAACTTTGTCGTCGGCAGCGAAGAAGGGAACGTTTACTCCGGTAAATATCACATTTAGCGTACTACAAATATGATGAAACGTGCGTGAGACAATTTCTGTAATCTAAATTAATTTATCGTTCAACAGCTTGTCGTCATGGTACGAAGACCGGAGTGCTGGAAACATACGAAGGCCATCAAGGCCCGGTCACTGGTATTAGCACGCATGCTGTACAGGGCGGAATAGATTTCTCGCACCTATTTTTAACTTCGTCCATCGATTGGACAATCAAGCTGTGGAGCCTTAAAGAGAGCAAACCATTATACTCTTTCGAGCACAACGGCGATTACATTTACGACGTCGCGTGGTCGCCGACCCATCCGGCTCTCTTCGCTGCCGTCGACGATTCAGGACGGCTCGATCTATGGAATCTTAATCAGGACACAGAAGTGCCTATGGCTAGTGTAACGATCAAGGGCAACCCGGCACTCAACAGAGTGTCTTGGACGCCGAGCGGTTTACACGTGACCGTCGGCGACGACACAGGCAAGATATGGGTGTACGATGTTGCCGAGGTAACCTTTGTTTTATAATAATTTTCCGTCAGTGTATCTTTCATTGATTCCGACTTTATTGTATAATCGCCGTGTTTCTTCTGATTCACAGCACTTGGCGCATCCGAGAATTGACGAATGGAACAAATTCTTGTACACCCAACAAGAGCTAAAGCACAACAAAGCAGACGAAGAAATGCATAAGCTTAATCTGAGGCAGCCTACTTCCCTGACTTCTATACCTCCGATGTTAGCTCAGATAAAGGTATAACATATTATTTAAAAATTATTACTAAAGTCGGCTTGAATACCTTAATGTTTCAAATCAAATGAATCTAAGATGTCTATAATTAT